TTGGGACACCAGGAATCCTCTAAGGGGAACTCAAACCTGGAAAGCACAGCAATCACCCATCCTGCCCCTTCCCAGCTCTCCAGAACAGGACTGATCCCAAACTGAGATGACTTGATCATACCCCAAGATCCTGCCAGGGTCAGGACTGGCTGCAAAGATTATTCACGTCTTGCCCTGATGGATTTCCATAGGAAATTAATGGAATCACTTAGGTTGGGAAACCCCTCTGAGATCGAGCCAGCTGTTCCCCCAGCACTGCCAAAAGCACCACTAACCCATGTCCCCAAGTGCCACATCTGCACAGCTTTTCAGTCCCTTCAGGGATGGTGACCCCACCACTGCCCTGGGCAGCTGTGCCAGGGCTGGACAAGCATTTCCATAAAAGAAATTTCCCCTGAAATCCAACCTAAACCTCCCCTGGCACAACTTGAGGCCGTTTCCTCGTGCCCTGTTACTTGTCAGCCCAGTCCTCACCTCAGAACAACTCCCCTGTTCTCGCTGGCAGACACAGAGGTGCACTATTAAATCACCCAGGCAGATCAGAGCTATCAACCCTTGCAAAAAAGACTCCCAGCTCCAGGATATTTATGGGAGGAACAGCTCCCAGTGCCCAAGAGCCCCTTCAAAATCGACATCACAGGACAGCGAGCACAAAGCCCAGCTCAGAACTGGCAGAGCATCACCAAAAAAAGCAACAACACTCTTGTTCACTTAAAGGTTCACTTAGGAGGAAAAGAACCTTCCAAATTACAACATTTTTATAGCAAAGAGGGTCCCACCATGGTCTTTTTGTTCCAGACACTGTACAGACTGTCTCCTTACTAATAACCCTGTTTTCCCAAATAGGCACAAAACAAAGAAAAAAAACCACAAAAAACCCCAACAACAACAACAACAAAAATCAACTACAAGGAGTCAGTCTGCTCTAATACCCAGGCAAGGAGGGATATAACTAGAGGAAGGCTCTGCAATAACTTGTAAAACACCTGTACTCAATGTAGGCACCCAAAGGACCTTTTAAACAACCCTCCAGGGCTTTTTTGCTCCAGTTCCTCTTTAGTTTTAGGTAATGGTGCTTCTAAAATCCCCTGAACCCCTTTTTTGGGTCAATACATCACAAGCCTTCAGTCAAAGTATGTCCCAAATATGTAACCTTTTTCTCCACCCTTTGTGCCTTCTTTTGAGACACCTTAAGCCCCTTTTTAGCAAGAAAATGAAGTAATTTCACAGTGGCTTCTTTTACCACTTCCTCCTGTTCTCCTGAGAGGAGGAAATTGTCCACATACTGCAAGAATCAAACTCCTGGGGGTGGAATGAACCCTTCCAATATTTTTTGCAAGGCTTGCCCAGACGGGACCGGTGCCTCCTTACATTGTCCATGTCAATTGTTGCTTTATCATTTTCCCTTCTTCCTCTTGCTCCCACTCAAAGTCAAAACACTGTTTACTATCTCCTGTAAGTAAGCAAAAAGCATCCTTTAAATGAAGTCCTGAGTAATAGTGATGTGAGAGGGGGAATCTGGTTTGGGACAGAAAAGGGGTGTGAGACCGTGGGATACTTTGGTTTAACAATTTCATTTATTATTCTCAATTCTTGTACCATTCTGTACATGCCATTAGTTTCTTTATTGGCAAGATAAGAGTGTTCTAGGGAGACATGCATGGCTCCAAAAGGCCTGCTTTCAGCAGAGATTTAATGATAGGCTTTTCTTCCATCCCATGAGGTAGGTTTAGAAACCGCTTGACCTGGTTGCTTTAAAGATATTTGAAGAGGTTCTAGGTCTGATTTTCCATATTTTCCTGGGACTGCAGACACTTCTGGATCTCTTTCAGCAGGGGTTTTATCAGAGACCATACACAGGGCTACAACAGTATCAGCCTCTTTGTCATTCTTAATAATGATCATTTGCATTCCTAGCTTAGCCATCAAATCTCTCCCTTGTAGATTACAATCACAATTAGGAACAAATAAAAATTCATGCATTTCATATGTATCTCCCACATCTTCTATTAACAGTGGCACACCCATTCATCTTTCCCATTTACTCCTTGAATTCCTAATGATCCTTTTGACAACTGTCCCCCCTTTGGCATAAAATTTGAAGTAGAACAAGAGGCCCCAGTACATTAAGAAGGGCTCCAGTGTGGTGGGTCCTTGGTGTAATGGGAGCCCCTGACACCCCTAACAATCCATTTCCATCAGCTGGTGGCCTTCTGCCACACAAGGGCCTGCTTGTCTCTGCAGACATTCTCTCTTCCAATGTCCTTCCTTCTTACAAATGGGGTTGTAAAAACTGTGCCAGCACCTTGGCCTTCACCTTGGCCTTTTCCTTATCCCTCCTTACATACACCTACCCTTCTAAGCTTTACTCACTAATGAGCAGATACTAATCTATCTTACTAATAAGCCCACACATTTTGTTAATGAGCAGATACACAGGTGTAGTCTTATGATACTACCTATTTTACTAACAAATACACCTATTTTTTGCTAATGAGCAGATACACAGATAAATATAACATTAGGTTGGAAGGTTCATCTAGAGGTCAGCTTTGGCTCAGGGCCTCTTGCTCAGGCCACTTGTGTGTAGGAGCAATTCCTGGACATAGGCAAGACTGGAGGTGGTATCTGAATTTTGTTTCTGGGCTCCTGGAAGTGTTTCCCAGTGCTTTTATATGGGAAGGAAGGCAGGCAGGCCCAGTGCTTCAGGTGCAGATGACTGGCCACAGCAGCCAGGAGCAGCTTTCTGTCCTGGCACAGTTTTTGTGGGAGCAATCCCCCCCACGACTGCAATTATGGAGTTGGTAACCAAATTTTGGGGTTCACCTTCTGAACAGGGTGAAGAACAGAAGTACACAGTCCTGGGGCTTGTGCTGCAAAGAATTGGGTGCCCAGGGAATGGAAGGGAAAGCAACAGTTGTTCTGTCTGGCAGCTTTGGTGTGGGAGCAACCTCTCAACACATTCCATTTGTCAGGTGGTCTTCTGAAGTTTTGGCAAGGTAAGCAGCTCTCCCCCAGTGTGGGTGTGCAGATGATAAACTGCCTCGGGGAGGTAATGACAGATAACTCTGTTCTGCAACCTCTGAGTGGGAATAATCCCTGGATGTTTCCTATTTTGGAGGTGGGGATCACATTTCTTTGGAGATGGGGTCGCAGTTCCTCTCTTTGGCACGGAAATCCCTTTTGGATTCACACCCTGGGCCGTTCAGAGAGCGTCCTGGTGAATTTAAGTGCTTTCCCTAGTACAGAACGGTATTGGCTAGAGCTGCTGAACTGCTGGAGCGAGAATGTAAAAGGCAAGCTGTTGATCTTCTCATGTTGCTCACTTCAGTGCCTGGGCAGTCAGTGGTGGGGTTCAGTTTTGGGTGGCACAGAGATGGCTCGGTTATGACGGTGCAGAGAGCTGAGAAGCAAAGCGCAGATCCCGGGGGGTGTGGTGACTTCAGTGGGGGCAGCGAAAGGTGGAGCCAGCACTGTTTCCTCACCTGGCACTTCTGTCAGCGCTGCTTTTGCCGGATGTTTTCAGTTCCACAGCTGGATTCTGCCAGAGCAGAATGTATTAGCACGTATAACTGGGAAGGAGTTCGTGTTGCCTCTCGAGCGTGGTGCAACTACGAGTTTGAACGCGAAAGGTTCAAACACGAAGGTCGGGCAAACCTTTCAATCCCCAGTGAAGTGACGTTCGCCACTCGGATCCGCTCTTGGGTTGGTTTAGCTGGTTTCGTTCTGGGACACTGACTTTTTTTGGCAGGTCCGCACCGCCATCGTGTGGAGGTTTGATGAGCAGGTTAAAAAAAACCCCACACCAACAGGTTTTTGTTGCTGGCATCATCACTGTGGGAGCAGTAGCTGTAAGGGCTCCGTTTCGGATCCTGGCTCTTCGAGGCTGAAAGAATGTGATCTTGGCATATAGGTGGGAAATAAAGCCCATCATCTCCTTGTTGGCCGGGCTGCAAAAGAGAAGTGAATCCCAGTGCTGGCTTTTTCTCCCAGAACTTTTTCCGTGGGACCAGCCACTGTTTTTGGTTTTGTGAGTGGACTCTGTGCTCTGCAAGAATGAGAGAACAGGATGGCACATGCAGCTGAGCAGGGAAATGCTGAACCCCAGGCACCTGCAGCTCCCATATCCCATCCAATCCCCTCTCCCATGGGCCGGAGCAACTTATCCCTCCTGTTTGAAGTTTATTTTTGGCTCTAAACACAAACTCAAGAGCCACAACCATACACAGAGAAGAAGCAGAAAATCCCTGGCAGGTTGGTTTGTTGTAGCCAAGGGGTTTCTCAGCACCACATACAAATATCATCATTAAGAACAAACAGAATTTGCAGCAACACCTTCCCAAAACTCTTCCAGCGACAGCAGAAAAAGGTGATTTTTTCCTTTATTTAGTTTTAATAAGTTTTAGCTGAATAAAAGGTTTTTTATTAGCTTGAAAATAGTTTTAGGTTTTTCCTTTATTCACGGTGAACAATAAATTGTAATGAATTCGATAAATTTAATTTTTAAATTTTATATAATACATATGAATAATAACAATAAAGATAAATAAAAGGCCCACCGGTCGCGCTTACACACTTTTCCTAACGCGTCTTAAAAACAAAACGTGTGGAGGCGGGTGAAAACTTATTTCGCGCTGCTGCGAAGCCCTTAAAAAAATAATAATTATTTTTTTTTTTTTTTTAATGTTGCGGTTTTAAATCCGAGCGCTCCCGTGAGTCCTCCGCGCCGCCAGGGGGCGCCAGGCCGGCAGCGGAGGGGGCGGGCAGTGCCGGCGGGGCCCGGGGCGGTGAGTCGGGCCCGGGGATCTCGGAGCGGCTCCGGCAGCGCCGGGGCCGGGGGGGGTTTGTGTCGCTGTCGGTGCAGGGTGAAGGGGCCCGGGCGGTGAGGGGGCTGAGGAGCCCCGGGGCCCGCTGAAGGGAGTCCTTGAGAAGCCCCAGTGAGGGTGCCGGGTGGTTGAGCTCCGGGCCCCGGCGTGTTGTGCTCCACGAGCCGCAGTGCAGAGCCCGGGCTGGGGGTCCCTGGCGAGCTCCGGTGTCTGCTGAGGGTCCCGCTCAGCTGAGCCCCAGCACCCCCTCAGGGAGCCCGGGCGAGCCCCGGTGCGGGTCGAGCTGTGCCGAGCCTCGTCTCTCGTTGACCAGCCCCGGTGTTCGGCGCTTTGGCATCCCCCTCCGCCCACCCCACCATGCCGGGCCAGGGCCCCTCGGGGTCCCGCCGGCCGCTGCTGGCCCTGGCGGTGGCGCTGGGCTGGCTGCTGGCCCTGCAGCTGCTGCTGGACCTGCGGGCGCTGGGGCTGCTGTGCGGGGCGCTGGCGGTGCTGGGGGGCTGGCTGGGCCCCCCGGCCCTGCTTCCCCGCGGCCGCCGCCTGCGCCTGGAGCGCTTCGTGAGCTCCCTGCGGGCCCCCCCGGGCTGCCCCGCCGACGAGGCGCGGCTGGAGCGGGAGATCGCCAGCACCATCCGCAAGGTGGTGCGGGACTTCGTGGCCTCGTGGTACCGCACGGTGAGCAGGGAGCCCGCCTTCGAGGCCGAGGTGGAGAGGGCCATGGTGGGCCTGGCCGCGGAGCTGCGGCGGCGCATGGCGCGGGTGGACCGGCGAGCCCTGGCCCGGCGCCTGCTCCTGCTCTGCGGGCGGCACCTCCAGAGCTTCCTGCGGGCCCGGGACGCCCTGAGGGACGACCCCAAGGGCGGCGGGGCGCTGTGGCGGGAGTACAGCCGGCTGGCGGGGCCGCACCCTGCCCTGCTCAGCCCCGCGGCCGAGGTGGGGTGCGCCCGGGCCGCCGTGGAGGCGCTGCTGCGGGCCCTGGTGCCGTGGCCGCACCTGGAAACGCGCACGGGGCGCTTCGTGGTGGTGGAGCTGGTGGCCTGCAACGTGCTGCTGCCGGCCGTCAGGAAGATGTCCGATCCCGACTGGATCAATCTGCTGCTCATCGGGATGTTCTCCAAGAAGCCCCGCGGCGGGAAGCCCCACCCGGCACCCCCGGTGCCGGATTCCTTGCCCTTCCCAGCACAGGTGGATGCGGCTCCTGCTGGGCTACCCCCCTCCCCGAGGGCTGGGGAGGGGCTCAGTAGAGAGGCAGGGGCTGCTGGTGAGGAGGGAGAGGAGACAAGCAGGTCGTGCCACACAGAGGAGCCTTTCCTGCGCCCCCGAGCCCTGGGATCCCTCTTCCCCTGCGAGGGCTTGGAGCTGGAACCCTCCACGCCCAGCGTGGGCCAGGACACGGACCTGCTGGCACCATCCCCCACTGGGGAGCTCCTTGATGAGCCCCTGCAGGACCCCTCTGTGCCAGAGGGCCCGGCCCCTTTGGAAGATGGAACAGGGGACCTGGAGGAGGGCCCTGCTCCCAGCTCAGATGTTGGGCTGCTTTCCACCTCTGCCTTGAGCTCCTGCCCTGACATCCAGATCGAGCCAGTGGTGGAGAAGGAGGAGGAAAGCCCGGCAGTCCCCAGGAAGTTCTCCTCGCAGAGACCCTCGAGCCTGGGGAGAGATCTGGGGGCAGCAGAGGGCCCACCTCAAATTCCCCCAGAGCCTGGGCAGTCCCTGCCCCTGCTCACATCCTCCCCAACAGCTTCCATGAGCACCTTCAGCTTTGAGCCTCTGAGCAGCCCCGACGGGCCTGTCGTGATCCAGAACCTGCGGATAACTGGGACCATCACTGCCCGGGAGCACAGCGGCACTGGCTTCCACCCCTACACCCTGTACACTGTCAAGGTAAGGGCTCCCCTGGCGCTCACCCCTTCTCCCAGGTCCCTGCCCTGACTGGAGGCACTGGTTTGGAGGTGAGGATTTGCTCTGTGAGTGTCTCCACAACAAATTTGGTTTGGCGGTGAGGGAATGTCGGGCACAGGGGGTGGGTTGGGGGTTCCCACTTTTAGCCAAGGGTCACACTGGGCTTGTTTTGGGGATGTGTAAGGATTATTGTTGTTGCTTTCCTCCTCAGTATGAGACAGTGCTGGAGGGTGAGGGTGCAGGGAGCCTTCAGCAGGTGGCTTACCACACCGTCAACCGCCGCTATCGGGAGTTCCTCAACCTGCAGACCCGGCTGGAGGAGAAACCGGAGCTCCGCAAGTTCCTCAAAAGTCAGTGCCTGCAACAGCTCTTGGAGTAAATCCTCACCCTCTCATCCTCCTCATCCCTGAAGGTTTTCTGCCCTGCCTGTGCCCACATCTCTGTTGGTTTGTGCAGAGCTGGCTGGAGGGTTTATCTCTTCTGGCAGTAAATTCCAGTGTTTCAAAATATTTTTCTGATTACAACACCTGGTTTGGTAGCTTTGCACCTTAACAGTGAATGGAAACACTGGGGTCGGAAAGAATCTTGTTTGCTTAGAAGAAAATAGTGTAATATGTAAATAGACATGGGCTTTTTTTAGGAACAAAACAGTGTTTTTTCTAATGCTGCTTCTGTATGAAGCTCCATTGAGTTTAGCATACTCCAACATAATTCCTTGGTTCTGACTGGTTGACTGGAAAACTGCTTTGTTGAGAGTATTTGGGCTCTTGGAATGATTTAGAGTCCTTGTGCTAGACTGGTGTTCTTGCTGCTTTTAACTTTAAAGGCATGGAAGATGTGAAATCCAGCAGAGCACAGATTGCATATGGATTGAAGGTCTGATTCAGCAAACCTGGTTTGAGGAGTGTCTTTCCTTGGGCAGGGTGTGATTATAGTCTTAACTATGAGAATATTAAGGTTTTAATACAGACTGAAATCTGTATATAGATTTTAAAATCTTAATTTTTAATCTTGGATTTCAAAATCTTTTAAATTAAGATTAATTTTTTCGTTCCCCAGTTTTCTCGAGCTTGCTCATGGCTTTGTTTCCTTTCTAGACATCAAAGGCCCAAAGAAACTGTTCCCTGATCTCCCTTTTGGAAACATGGACAGCGATAAAGTGGAAGCCAGGAAAAGTCTGCTGGAATCCTTCTTAAAGGTGAGATATTCGTGTGCCCCTGTGAGCTAAAAGCAGAGCTCAGGACAGCTCTGTGACATCGTTACATGATCAAGCTGGGAAGTTGACTCCAAAAAGCCCTGAATTTCCATCTCTCCTTGCAGCAATTGTGTGCAGTCCCTGAAATTGCCAACAGTGAGGAGGTGCAGGAATTTCTCGCCCTCAACACCGACGCCAGGATCGCGTTTGTCAAGAAGCCCTTTGTTGTCTCCAGGATAGACAAGGTAGGAAAGCGGGAGGGTCAGACCCCATCTCAAAAAACCTTGGGTTTAATAGAAGATACAGTGCAAGTTTGAAAACTCTTAATATCTTTAAGGACTAAGGGTCTAATCAGTAACTAACGGCACCGCTGGCCCTGCAGATCGTTGTCAATGCTATTGTGGACACCCTGAAGACGGCATTCCCCAGGTCAGAGCCCCAGAGCCCCACCGAGGATCTGAGCGAGTCTGAAGTGGATGGAAAGTCCCAGACAGATGGCAAGAAGACAACTAAGTAAGAGCTTCTCCAGCTCTCCAGAATAAGAAATTAATGCATAAACTGAGCCCGCTGTGGGGAAGAACTCACCTGGTGCTTTATGTGGTGTTGTACTTTAACCAAGTTGCTTTCTTCTTCCCTTGCTGTGAGTTCCTGGTTATCCAAAGGGTTTCCCAGGAATGCTTAGGTTCCCACAGAAGGTGGTTTTCTTCCCAAGGGAGCTGTCAGGTGCTGCCATTTGCCAGCAGAGACCCTGATGCTCCTGGGGAATTCCTTTTTAACCTTAAACATGTGCATGACTCATGTATGTCATGAGCCACTGGAAAATGCAGCTATAAATTACTTACCTGAAGGTTCCCTCCCCTGCCTCTCCCATGAGTTCCACACAGTGGCCTTGCACAGAACGCATTTAAATGTTTATTTAGGAGTAAATTTAAGATCATTGCATGTATGTTGCTCACCAAGTGTTTGTTGGTGCTGCTGGCAGTGCCAAACCTCACTGTGCTCATTAGTGACTCTTCCCTCACTGAAAAAGGGAAGGTTTCTGCACAAACACTGCTTTTTGTTCCCAAAAAGTATGTTTTGCTGGAAAAAGCCAGCTTTGAACAAAAAGACAAACCAATAAAAGTACAAGTTCGGAAGCATCTTGGCTGAAAAGGACATTCCTTGACGATAAACAGGTTGTTTTACAATTTGTCCCATAACCCTGAGCATCTTTTCGTGCTGTCCTTTCTGTGTGTCTTTATGACTGGATTTCACAATCCTGCTGAGTGTGTTTCATCTCAGAGGCTTTTCTGAACGCTTCCATGTGTATGCTGGAATGTTCACAGGCAAGATATCAGCAAGGTGTAACACACCCTTCTGTGTGGGGAATGTTGGAAAGCCTTGGCTCAGGAGTAGGTCAGGAAAAATGCTTTAATGCTCTTCTTGCCTGGTTTTTCTGCTACCTCCTAGTTATCCTGGGTGCAGGTGCTGTGTTTGAACCACTTTAGCTCTAATCAGACTTTGTAGCTTGGCTGTGGCACTGGGCAAAGGTCCTGGGTCTTGGTGGAGGCTGGAAAACTCATCCCTCACAGCTTGCAGAGAAAACTGACTGTGCCATGTCTCTCCTTTTCAGGTCCAGGCTGAGATTCTCATCCAGTAAAATCACCCCAGTGCTGAGTGTGAGTGAAGCTCATGACAGGATAGTGTACTCCATCAGGGAGGGCAGCGCCGTAAGTTCCCATCTCTCCTGGAACCCCCTCATGATCCCACTCACTGCCCTGTTTGGGAATAATCCACGTGCACGAGGGTTGTGGCTGCTGCAGCCTCGTTCCCAGGTGCCAGGTGGGCAGGGAGCAAGCCTGGATGTGTTGTTGGCTGCCCCCAAGTGCAGACAAGGAGGTGGCTGGTTGTCTGACTGGTGGCATCCAGGCCTGTGTGGTGCTAACTCACCATGGCTTTTGTAGGTCTCTGGCACCCTGTCGCTGGCTGCTATGGAATCCTTCATCCAGAAGCAGGAGAAGCTGCTGGAAGCCATCCCTAGCAAAGCTCCTGAAGGTGAGGGAGGCAGAGAAGCTAAGGGAAGCTCTGTGCAGGAGGATGCAGATGGGATGAACACACCAGAGCAGGGGACACATCTGGACACGAACTCCGGTGAGCTCAGCCCTTCTGTTACTGCTTTAATTTCTCTCCCTTGGGACCACAATCAATTTACAGGGTTTTCAGGACCGGTTCTCCTTGCCCTTGGTTGAAGGGAAAGCAAACTGAATTTTTCCAGTCCTGCTTGGTGATTGCTCTGGGCTTTGTTGAAAGCAAATTGGGTCTTGGATCCTTTTGTATATTCACCTTTGTGGAGTCAGCACAGTCACTGCACAAATAAGTTTTTTAAGGACACAGTGTTTTAACTGGCAATGTTATAAAATCAAGCTCCTGGAAACTGAAAAATGGCCAAATCACAGTTTCTTGATAGCCTCAAATTAGCCTTGATATGTCCATGCACTATAAAAGGACCTTTTGAGGTTAAGTTTGGATAGATTTGATGGGAGTAGCAAAAATGTAATCCCAGTTCAAGGAATGATGGTCCCTTTCTGATTCTGAATCCCTCCTCTGAAGCACAGGGGTGCCACAACTTCTCGAAACAGTTACAAGGTTATCCTGAACACAAGCAAAAAATATGTTCTCTAATCTTTTTCTTGGAATAGCTGAGCTGTATCAGCTGGAACTTCCCCAAAATTTCTCTCCAGTGTTTCAAGTTGGGCAAGCTCTGACATGTGCTTGTGACAGGATGGGTCTGATGTCCTGAAACTCAGTTTGTGCTACCAGCTTTGCCTGTAATCTTGGAACACTTGGCTTTGGGGCGGCAGGATTGGAATTGGAGGCCAGGGTTGTGCACCAAGTTCCCTGAATTCTGAGGGAGATTAAATGTCAATGATGGCAAATGCCTGCAGGTCTGGGGTGTTTCAGGCTGGGCTGGCAGGGCGAGGGGAGCAAACGTCTGGAGCAGCTGGATAAAAAGGCAGCCTGTGTCCCTGTCTGCTCATGGAGTGACTTCTGGGAAGAGGCTGGCCAGCATCTCTCTGAGGAAGAGGACTTGAATGCTCTGGGAATAAACAGAAATTGCTGAGGATGGTCCCTGTCTGAGGTTAGGGGGAAGCTGGACTGCCTGCTTCTGACTCTGCCCTGGGAAGTCAAATCTCAGAGGGCAGAGCAAGTGAGGAATAGCTTAGACATGGCCCAGAGCAAGAGAGCCAACTACCCTGTCTTTTCCAAGGGAAGTGTCCTGGAGTTCATTAGTCCTGCACATATGCAGTGGGGAGAGGAAGAGGAGAGGGAAGGAGAAGGTCCAGAATCCCTCTCCCCTTCATTTTCAGCAGTAGATTATGAGTGTAAATTTTCTATAGACAGAGTGGTTGGAAGATGAGGCATCAGGGAATCCAAATTAGGGAAAGCTGTTGCACCTGATCTCCCCTGGCCAACCTGGCATGAGGCTCAGGTCAGGGCACTGGTCTAGGAGTGGCTGCCCCAGGTAGGTTTGTGACACATTAATGAGCCTGTTCAGGACAACACCTCGAGTTCTTTGGGGCCAAAAGTAATTCTCTGGCAAGTAGAAAGTGTTTTTACACTGAAGGTTTTGACATTCTCCTGAGGATCAGAGAGAGGTTTTGCTGTCTCAGGCTTGTGCCAGCAGGGATATGTGAGGAGGTGTATGGGTTTGTGTTTTAACTGATGCATCTGGTCTGTCCACCTTCCTGCCGAGATTGGGATCTGCCACACGATGGCAGCCTGCAGCCACCATCTGGAGCCTTGTGCCTGGGAAACTCTTGGAAGAGGGGAAAGTGATGGGGAAGACCAGGAAAATAGTCCTCAGCAGTGTACCTTTCTCTAGCTACAGTGACTGCTTTCATTCTCACCTGTTTTGGGCATCCTCTCTTTAACTGAGAAGGAACTGAGCCCTTGGAGCAGCCACATTCTGGTTTGGTGTGGCCCTTTGTGGGGGTTTGGGGCTGCTTGTATGGAAGTGAAAGAGTGGTAAGGGCAGGCTCCCTGGACTGGCTGGGCTGCAGCAGGTCATCTGTGCGTGGCACAAAGGTGCCAGACTGGGAGAAAAGAGTGAGTTTGGGATGATGCTTTTCACCAGGTTTGCTCAGGCACTGGGTTGGTTTCTTCATCTGAGCCTCCTCTTCCTCCTGGCAGACTCTGAGACAGCTTTGGCTGATCTGGCCCTGGATGTGCTTCGCCTGGTGCTGGTGGATCACTGGAGTTGGTTGTGCACAGAGAACATTCACAAGGTCTTCAACCTGCTCTTTGGGACCCTTGTTCAGAGGTAAGGCCTGAGTGAGCAACCTGGCAGCTCTGGGAGGGTAAATCCCCTTTGGAGGCACAGTCTTAAGTGGAGCTGATGCCTGAGTGTGGGTAAATGTTTTCTGAGCATCAGACAAGGTTCTGTAAAGAAGGTGCTTTGTGTATGTGAAAGAAACCTCTTGGAGGTTTGCACTGGGAGCTGTTTCCCTGTGAGCAAGGAAGCAGCTGTAGCAAGCAACCTCCTATCCCTTAATGACAGGGAAAGGATGGATCCAGCCCTGGGAATGGGAGTCCTGCCTCATGAAAGGGCAGCAGTGCCCAGCTCCTTGGCTCTCCAAGGAGAACTGGCCTCCTGCTCTCACTGCTCAGCTTGTTCTGTCTACAAAAGGAGAATAAACAGGCCAAGGGAACAGCAGCTTGTCAAAACCAGCTCAGAGTGTGGCCTGCGAGGACCTCTGCTCTCCCTGCTGCACTCCCTGCTCTGCCCTGGGCCAGCAGTGCCTGTGCCTGGGGCAGGGACATGCACATGGAGTGGGAACAAGGCTTCCTTTCCAGCTGGGATGGACTTGCCAAGCTGTCCCAGGGCCAGTGCCTCTGGGTGGTAAGGCTCTAGGCCAAGACACACAAACAGAGCATTCCTGTTTTCTGGTGTGGGTTGGTGGCTGTCACTAGCTGAGGTTTTGGTTCTTTAGAGCCCTGAAGGACTTGGGCTTGGGACAGTCTTGGAGCAGAGCTTTTCCCGCTCCTGCAGGCACCCAAAGTTGGCATCAGAGAATGTGCAGGGCAGCACATTATAACTGAGCTGGTAACTTAAACTGCACTCAGGAGAGGTTGCCAAAGTGCTCTGAGGTCAGGCACTGCTGCCTCCACTCCTGGGTCTGTGCCCTTGGGCAGCAGGAGGTGGGCGTTGCTGCCATTTCTCCAAAATGGGATCCGGTCTCTTGGGAAATGAGCTGGAACCCAATCCCTGTGTGTAAGCAGGGAGGTATGAGAGCCTGAGCAGGCACATCATCCTGCCCTGTTAATCTGTGTCCTGGTCACCCAGGGAACCTGCAGCACCCACATGTGGCATTGGTATTTTCCACTAGAAAGCTGGGATACACACAGCACATGCCTGGCTCTGAAAGGTGCAGGAGCAAAATGAGTTGTGCTGGTGGAGCAGAGTGAGGGGAGTGTGTTAGTAGCTGCTCTGCTGCAGGGAAAAAAGTAGATGTGAGCATCATCCCCTCAAGAGATGGTCCTTCCCCTGTTCCTGTCAGTGGGTGAGGTGGTATGGGGCAGAAAGGAGGTGCCCTGGAAGCGTTCTGATTGTTAGGAAGGGGATTGATGGCAGGTGCTCCTCTACCAGTTTGTATTTGGTGATTAGGTGCTGTTCCTCCTTGCAGCTGCAAGATGATTCTGCTCTGGCGTGAGGCCCATTTAGTGCAGAGTGATAGAAATACCTGCAAACCAACAAAAAGCATACCAAGAACAACAACCAGTTTCTCTCAAGAGCCAATCCCCCTCTCCCTTGGGTGCTTTTGTTGCCATCAGGTGATTGCTGTGACCCCACTGTCCATTATGGGACCTCCCTACCTGCCCCGTTCACCGTTCTCTGCATGGAGCATCCCACCACGCTCCTCTTCCCCTCTTTCCATAGCTGGAATAGCTGGAGCCAGGCACTATCCATCTCCCCTGAGTGTCAGTTGGATGGCAGTGGGAGAGGAAGGCTCCATGACCGAAAAAGGTATTGTTGAGGAAAGGGAGGCCGTGTGTGCGAGGCCCGATCCGCTCCCCCCATTATGTAACAGGGAGGGATCCTTTTTTGGAGCCGAAAGGAGAGGCGGGTGGAGGGGAGGTGGAGGGGCTGGGAGGCTCTCTGAGGGTGGGAATGACCCTGGGGCCAAGGACTGCTTCCAGCAGCCTCTCTCTGTGTGCTGGGTCTGTGCCTGTAAACAAACCCACTGCCCCTCTCCAGCTCCGCTCCCCTCCCACGGGCTGGAAAGGCACATCTCTCTTCCCTTGGGAGGCTGCAACAGGAACCTGTTTGCAAAGTGGACTACATGGAGGTATTCTGGGCTCTGGGGGTGTTTGGTGGAAGAGCTCAAAAGCATTTGGAGAATCTGGGTGCTTTTTAGAGCCTTGTGAGTCAAAGAGGTGTTAAAAATACATGACGAGCACGCAAACCACGCTGTGGCTGTGACCCCACACTCTGCCCTCAGTCTGGTCCCACGGGGTCAGGGGCTGCCAGTGCCACCAGCAGCTGGAGACAGTGGTGGAGCCAGGGGACAGCCACCAGCTTGATGCTCCCCTGCTCCACCTTCCAGACAGGAGCCCCAGCTGAGTGCCAGCATCCCAGGGACAGAGCTGGGAGTGTTTGAGGTGCAGATCCAGGTCTGTAAGCTTTTCCTAGCTTTCAGACCTGTGAAAGCACAACAGAAAGCCATGGAGTGCAAACCACTGAGTGGGGTAAATTGTCTTGGCTCACCCTGACTGCCTGTCCCTGGAAACCTGAGCGGGGCTGGGGCACAGAGGCCGTGCCGGGCTCGGAAGTGCCTGTTTCTGAAAGGAGCGTGTAGAACTACTCAGGCAGCTTTGATAGTGTCATGTTCCACTGACATGACTTAAAATAAATGCAAATCATCCCTGCCTTACCCAGGAGCTCACCGCTGCTTGGCTCTGATCTTTGCTTTGGGTGATTTCCACTGCTGCTCTGGGCTTTGTCCCCTGTCCCCTCATCCCTTAGCAAAGCTGGCAGATTTGGGGAGGTGACATTCCAGTCCTTGTGAGCTATAAATGGAGAGCCAGGGATGCTTTGAGACTGATTGCAGGTGACTTTTGAGAGCCTTCTTGCAAGTTTTTTTGCTGTCACCCTGGCTTTGGGGCTCTTGTGGCCTGTCACTGTCAGCCCAGGTGTCACAGACACTTGTGCAACTGCTGCTGTAAGTCTGTCAGCTCTGTAGCTTCAGGGAGCTGCCTGCTGGGTGCTTTTTATATGATTTTCTCTTCTTCTCCCTTGATCTCTGTGCCAAAAGAACGGGCACAAAGACCCTTGGCAGCTGCCTTCATCCTCTTGACTTCAAAGTGCCGCCACTGTCTGCCCCTCTTCGATGTCCCTGAGTGGACCTGTGTGCCTGGGCAGCACCTGTGGGATGGGAGTGCTGGGAGTGCACTGCCCATGGCAGGGAATTCTGCCCAGCCCTGGAGCCATGCAGAGGCCACCTTTGACAGCCAAGGTGGTGCTAGGGTTGACTCATGCTCTGCAGGTGCCAGGAGAAGCCAGGAAGGTTTATTGTCCCACTTTCCTTTGGCTTTGGAGCAGTAGCTTCCCACTCCAGGCCTTGGGCAGCATCTCAGAGTTTTGCTGGCAGAAACAAGCAGCCAAAACTGCAATATCAATGCAACTGGAGCAACTAAATCCACTGGTTGTTACCAGGGGGAGTTGATCTGGGCGTGTTGGGGAGGACTGCACGTGGAGGAGCTGTGCTGGCAGGCCCAGGTTCGTGGCAGCAAAGTCCTTGTCCCTAAAAACCAAGCCTAAAAATCAGCACCAGACCCGGTAAATGAGGGAACCAACCTTGTGACATCTTAATCTTCCTCTCTGGATTTGTCTGTTAAGTAGTAGCAGGAATGACAGGCCTGTGGTATGTCAGGAAAAGCGATTTCAGGACTCTGTGTCTTCATGTGTATATGTAAAGTAAATACAAATCAGCTTGGAAGTGGGCCTCGATTCAGCTGTCTCCAAACACCTGGAAATTTTGGATCTGGCTTTCAATCTCTGTCCCAAACAAATTTTTTTTTTTCCCCCCTCTTCTAGAAGCAGCGTTCTTCCAAAAACAGCCAGTAGAATGAAGCAAGCACTCTGTGCTTTGATAACAATTGCAACATTATTTTAACTCGGGTTCTGTTTCAACAGTTGGGTGTGCCAACTTTTTTTTCCAGATTTAAAAAAAAAAAAAAACACAACAAATTCCTATTTCAGAGAGAGCAAAGAAGAAAAGGATAGAGAGGAATTAATGTGTCCTTGTTGGGTTTAATTTACCCTGGTTTTTGAAGGGTTATTAGCAGCTTTATGTATTTTCATTCTGAAATGGGCTAATGAAGCAATTGCTCTGAGCAAGGCCTGGCTGAGACAGCCTGGCCTCTCCCTGGGGCACCATTGAGAGCTTAATTGGCTCGATAAATACTTGATGAAGATCTTATCAAAAGCCAGGATGCTTTGTGAAAAATCAAAGAGGTTTGGGGTTTTTTTTAAACACATACTTTTACCCCCTCACACCCCGCTCTTCCCTGAGCCCCAAGGCATCCTGGGGAGATCCAAGTGGATAAAAGCAAAGCCAGAGCAGTTTGGGTGAAGACATTGGAGTCCCATGTGTGTTTCCATGATTTCTTTTTGCTGCAGGTGTGTTTTGAGCGAGCAACACGTGAAATGGCACAGAAATCTGGTGATTTAAGCACCAGCCTTTCTGGATTTCAGGAAGAATCGTGTTTGAATGCCTTGTATTTTCCAGATGTTGTCTTTGTCTTCAATCCTTTTCACTACCTTAGTCTCACAGGCCTTTTTTTGAGCTCCTGATAGCCATGGTGAATTCCTCAGGGAAAGGAGGACCTTGTTCTGGGGTGGAAGGTAATCAGTGTTGAGCAGGACTTGCTACTCTTACACACAGCTCATGTATATTTATGGAGCTGTTTGTGTTTATACAGCTAATGCAGAGGAGCTCTCTCATCTTTGTCTCCTTCCTAGTGTGGCCTCCAGTTTCTGTTTGTCTAAATCCTTAAAATCCCCAGTTTTGGGGAAATTATAATTGCTGTAGCTTTAGATTTTAATTATAATTAGCAAATTTGACATGATTGTTCCTTAGCTCAAGTGATCTCAGTTCTTATCCTCACCTTGAGGGATGAGAAAAGCAGAGTTTGAGCAGCTTCTGGTACATTTGGAGAGTACTTGTACATCTTTGGCCATTCCTGGTCCATCTTTATTTTTCAGGCTAAGAAAATCTAACCTATCCAACCTTTATTTGCTGAGCTCTCTCCATCTGCAGGTCAACCCTCTGGATAATCCACTTAAGTGAGTGCATCCAGCCAGGTAAAACTGAGCCCAGATGCCTGTCCCTGACTCCCAGCCTGCCTCTTCCATAGGCTGCTCTTTCTCAGCAGCCTTTGTTGCATCGAGGTGCTGAAGGAAGGCCCAGGTTTTTCCCACCAGGCCTTGTTTTTCATTCCCAGGGTGTTCCAGTCCTAATGGATCCCTTCAGCTGACCTTGGAGTTCCATCTTAAGCCATGGCATTAATTTGGCTCTTTTTTAGCAGCCATTTCATTCCTCCATCAGCAGCTCTTTCCAACAGAGGTCCCTTACGACATGGGCAAGTTATGCCCCTCCAGATGATCTTCCTGAACTCTGTAGCCTTTGGAATTTGTCTCTTTGCATTGGGCATTATCAAAACATTCAGATGTCTGAGCCCAGGAGGTCACTTTATCTATTTCTGGTCTCAGCTGAAGTGTAAGGAGATGGCTCAGTGATAGGTGTATTTTTTTCTATCTTTCTTATTAAGGCTATTTATTCATGAAATAGCAGAATGGAAATAGTAACCCACCAGCCACTCAAAAATAAAAAAAGGTAGGTCTATTTATGTTTCTTGGTGGATTTATTTCTACCTGGGAACAGCCTGTGTGTGCTTTCAGTGTGGCACATGGATCTCAAATACTTAGGCCTTTAATAGCACAAAAAAATCATCTGTGACCTTCTGGCAAAGGTCAGCTTTGAACCAGCAGATCTTTGGAGTTCCTGTGCTCTTAATCCCCATCCTGGTGCAGCAACCCTGCCTAGTGGAAAAATCAGTTTGCCATTTTCAATAACATTGGTGTGACCCTCCCTGAGCTGCAACAACAACAGTGAGAGTTGAGGTGGGTGGGATTCTTGGGGTGTCCTGGTGCAGGGCTGGGAGCTGGACTCAATGATCCTCGTGGGTCCCTTGCAATTCATGATATTCCATGATCCCATGACTTATTTTGTGGGACCTTCCAGCATTTATCAGTTCTCAACTTGCCCCTTGAGCAGCCTGGAAACATGTGCTGTCTTCAAGTTCAGCTTTCTCTCTGCCCAGCGTTTTCTTGATTTTTTTTGTTTCTGTTTTAGGAATGTTTCTAAGGAAAAGAAAGCTCATTCTTTGCGTTCTGCAACCTTTTAAAGGCTGGGAAGTGGCTGTTGCTGTAATGAGGTTCAAGTCAATGTTCAATCTGATCTCCTTGGTGCAGGTTGACTGTTTGCAGCTCTGTCCCCAAGGCTCTGAATTTGTGTTGCTTGTCACGTGTTTTCTCAGCCAGGAAAGCAGGCTGTGAAGGAAAACATGTTAATAAAAAGCTATGTTAATGAAAGCTCTTGCCCCTGGAAAAGTCACAGTTTAACACTTTGATTTGGTTGGGAATGGCTGGAGGGTTTAACACGATCCAGAGTGTTTAAATCTGCTGATGGCTGGAGATTAAAACAATTTTAATTGCATTTCCAAAATGGCCTTTCCCACGCAGGACTGGGCTGGGACACTTTGTCCTCTAAGACAGGTGGAAGCTCTGGATCTCTGGCATTATCCTGTAGCAACATCAGTATGTGTGGTCCCTGGTGAGGCTGAGCATAAGGAATGTGTCTTCCCATTAGTTGGGATCACTGGGATCATTGCCCATGCTCCAGTAGGACCTTACTGTGAGAACAGCAGGCCTTCCTGCTGCACCAGGGCTCCTTTTCAGATTTTTAATGAACATTTCCTGGGTGTTCATCCCTCAAGACTTGCAGCTTGGCACCTCATTTCCTGCTGACAAAGGGAACGTCACGTTTCCTCCCAGTCCCCGATACCAACCTGCTTCCTTTGCCCTGGTTACCTTTAGGTGCTGCTATTCCCGACTCTCCACTCACATCAGCCCAAGGAAAGGCACCCTTGGCCTGGATGCCTCGCCTGGGAAGAATGCAGACAGTCTGGCAGAGAGCAGGTTAAATAAAGTTTGCCTTGGCAGGGCCGGTGCTCTTGGAGCTGCTGGGGCAGAGTGGGGATGGAATTGCGAGCACGAGCAGCGGCTGCCAAGAGGAATGGGTCTCCTGGCCCTGCTGGCTGACTCCTGTCCTCTGGGAATCTTGAAATGCTGGTGAAATCCCAACCCTTTTCCCTACCCCAGCACTGTGCTGATGTTCCTGTCTTAGCTCCAAAGCCTCCCTGGGCCCTCACCACCCAGTCAGGCTAAAACCATCCTGTCCCATCAGGGATTCATCCATAGCCTCTCCTGATCCTGAGGGGAAAGATTTCAGGCCAGGGGCAGGTTCTGACTGACAGCTCTGGCTTTTGCTGTTGAACTGGAAGGGATTTCATGCCCAGGAGAGAGGGTCCAGATGGTTGATTTAGAAACTCTCCCAGCACTTGGCTGGTGGGGACAAACCCAGTGCAGCTGCAAATACCTCCAAGCTGGTTTGTGGAGCAGCATTTTGGGATCTGCAGGTTGTTAGTAGATAAAGGGCACAGTCCAGACCCAGCAGGAGGGCCCACCAGCAATTCTGTTGGATTTTGGATGAGAACGAAGAAATTCTTTGCTGTGAGGGTGATGAGGCCCTGGCACAGGTTGCTCCCAGAAGCTGTGGCTGTCCCACCCCACAGGGATGTGTTCAAGGCCAGGTTGGGCTTGGAGCAATGTGGTTTAGTGGAAAGTGTCCCTGCCCATGGCAGGGGGTGGAACAAGATGGTCTTCAAGGTCCCAAAACCAAACCATTCTGTGATTCCATTGCTTGCCACCAGTAGATGGAGCAGGAGTGAAGAGTAGGAAAGGAGAGGGTCTAGAGGACAGCAAAGCAGTAGGATATTCATGCCATACCATCCTTGGAACGTGTGTTTTGGTCTCCAGGCAAGACAGCCTTGACTGTCTTGGTGGCAAGAAGGACTGATGAGAGGAACAGTTGCTGCCACAACATGCTTATGTCCTTCCAGTCCTTCCTGGGGGTTGTTTTTAGTTCAAACGCCAGTTTTTCCATCTTTGTATTGGCTTGTGCATGGAGATAACATGGGAGCTTCGGGTCAGTTGTATCCCTAAGCTTTGCTTCCTTTAGGAATCAGTGATTCACTCGGATTCCTGTGATTAGCAGGATGATGGAGCTTTTCATGGCCCTTGCTTCTCCCCTGTGACTTTACACATGTGTTTGTCCATAACAAAGGGATCCAATCCTACTTCTGGTGCATGGGAAACTCAGCCAATAAATACTTATGAAAATATTTGCTGTGCAGACTTGAAAACTGCACGTTAATGAATGCAGCAAACTGATCTACCCCTCCAGGGCCTGTGATGGGCCTGACTTGGTCCCAAGCCTGACTTTTCATAACCTTTCTCTGTCTCCCTGTGCCCACAGGTGGCTGGAAGTGCAGATGTTTAACTTGACCTGCACCCAGCGTTGGGTCCAGTACCTGCAGTTGCTCCAGGAATCTATCTGGCCCGGAGGAGTTTTACCAGCAGTGCCTAAACCCCCCAGGACAGAGGAGCAGAAGAAGGCAACAGCAGATCAGGCCCTGCAGAGCCTGATGGGGATTCTGCCTAGTAAGTGTGTCCCAGGGACTTGTCAGTTGGCCTTGGGAAAGAAGAGTGGCTGGAGAGCCCTCCAGTGCACTGGAATCTGTGGAAATGTGGTTAAACACAGAGATGGAGTTTGCTTGTGCCAAGGCAAAAATCAGTCTCCCAGTTCTGGATAGTTTGTGTCAGCATTTGGGGAACGGCAGAGCTCAGAGAGGCAGGAGGGGTGTCTTGGTGATTCCCAGATGGGGGCTGGCCACAATTCCACGCTTAGAGTGGTGATGCAGATCCTGCCAAGCCATCTCAGCCAAGGCAGGGTTTAGGAAAACCAGAGCCACACTGTGTTCCCACCTGCTGCTAAAGTGTCCCATGGCAGAGAAGAGCCACTGGGCAAAGCCTGTGGCTTTTCCACTGGACTGAAATCCCAGTTGCACTGGATTGATTTCCCTCTCTTGGAGTTTGACTTTGGGACCTTTGGCATTAAAGCACCTGCTGGCTAATCCGTGTGAGCGCAGTCTGAACTTTTAACTCCTTGCTGCAGTGTAAGGGGCCCTCCCTATCCTTTGGGAATCAAAAAGCACTGCCAGCATGTGCCCTCCCAGCCTGGAAGCCTTTCCTGGCGGTCTGTCCTGTTCCTGTCATGGTGATGCTGAGGCTGAGATGCCTCGGGCTCAGAGCACCATCACAAGCTGTGATTCAGCACCCACCAGGAGAAGACTGACCTGTGGAAATGTGCAGTTCCTAAAGCTTTGTCTCTTCACAGATGTGATCCAAGAAATCCTTGGGACCAGCAAGTGTCAGATGAGCTGGAACCTGGTGCTGGAGTCCCTGAGCCAGCCTGTGATAAACAAGTATGTGGGTTTTAGTCTTTACCCTGATGGCTTCTGATGGGATCTGTGAGCTGTGCTCAGGGCTTTGCCATGCAATTCCTGCTTCCTGGCATAGAACTCATCCAGCTCATTATCCCAGACTTGCAGTATTAGAGGGCATCTGGTTTGTTTGTGATGAGGGTGCATGTCCAGGACCTCAGTCTGGCTGGAGGTAATTATTGAGTCATGTTAATTATGCTGTTGGGCCTGCTTAGTTAGGGGATGTCAGGGCAGTAAGACCAATCCTAGTTTAGTTTGGTTTTGGAGGAGCTGCAGATCCATGTAGGGGTTTTTTTTTTGTCTGTGCCCAGCACTGTGAGTTTAGAAAGCAAGGGTTTGGCAATGGACTGCAGAGAAATGAGGGTCAGACTGGACATCAGGAGGAATTTCTTCACTGAATGGGTTGTTAAACATTGGAAGGGGCTGGCTGGGGGTGTGCTGAAGTCCCCATTCCTGGTTTAGGAAATGACTGGACATGGCACTCAGTGCTCGAGGTGATGTTCAGTCAAAGGTTGGACTCGATGATCCCAGGGGTCTTTTCCAACCTCAGTAATCCTGTGAAACACGTGCCACCTCCCTCCAGGAGGTGTGTTTGTGTTTTCTGTGCTGCTCAGCAGCTTCAGTGCCTGCTGGTTTGGGGGATGTGGAATAAAAGCTGAATCATCCCTTAAAACATTTCTTCCAGGGTCTGAGATCATTCCTCTTTCCCCTGATGGCAGTCAGACATTCCTTCCTCGTGTGAGCTTTGCCTCCTGTGCCCTGACCAGCCTAAGCTTTGTCTTCTCTCTGTTTCAGGCACCTGGTTTTCTGCCTCTTGGACATTCTGCTGGAGTTCTTGGTCCTGAAGGACTCCTGTGAGGAACCCAGAGCTGCAGCTGCTGCACCATCTGCTTGTGGTGGACTGGACAAAGCACTTTAGCCAGGACTGGTTGAGCCAGCAGTGGGGAAGAGAGGCAGCCACAGGCATAGCATGACTTGATTTTCAGTGTTTACTGAACGTGTCTGGGAGCTTCTTGTAAAGAATTCTTCCAGCCAGTGCTGAAGGAAGGTACTTCCAGGCTTCTCTCTCCTGGCTGGGTGGTGGATTAAACCCAGTGTCAGGGGCTGAACATCTACTGTGCATCTGTTCCATTGCTGACCTGATGGAGGGCCTGGAGTGAAGATGCCTGAGCAGTTGGAGGAGGATATTCAGGCTGCTCACAAACCCTGTGGTCCTGCCCCACAGGTGTTTCTGAACAACTGTAACACCTGAAGGCAGAGACATCACATAAGATTTGCTTTTGTGGCGTCAACCTTCACCTGGCACTGGCACAGACAGACTTGATGGGATGGGATATGTTGGTAAATGTTCCTGAAGGAAGGTGAAGGGAGGGGAAATGCTGTCCTGCTGTCTAATCATCCTGACTGCAGTGCCCAATTGGTGTTACTAGAAGGAAGATGGGGAGGGAATGGAGTGTGGAGAAGTCAGTGTCCAGCTGCCCAAACAGCTGGGAGGTGAGAGCAGTGCAGGAATCAAAGCTGCTGTCCTGCCTTAGTGACAAAGATCAGCTGCTTCCCACTGCCACTGCCCTGACATGGTCTAGTTCCCCATCATCTGCCTGATCAGTAGGACGCGGGTGGACTGTGATCCTGTGGGAAAGAGAACTCTCCTCAGGCTAAGGAGGAATGGCAGCTTGGCTGGACTGTAGGATTCCCTTTCTGAGTCCCCTTTTAGTCCCTGGGGCTGTCACCTGCAAGGCACAGGGGAAGTTGAGCCATGTGTGACACAGCAGGGATCATGCAGGGTCACAGTTACTGTACCCCATGGGACATTTCATCCCACAGAATCATGGAATACCAGGTGGGAAGAGACTGCCTGCTGTTCCTTGGAGCTGGATACTCCATGGCACTTTTGGAGGGAAGGGCAATGTAACTCCAACATTCCTGTTCTGCTCTTCCCAGAAGAGCTGCTTAATAATGGACCCACAGCAGTGTGAGCTGCTTGTGTGTGTTGTGTGAAAATACAGGAAGGGATTGGCTTGCTGTCTGCAAAAATACAGTTTTAGGGAGCTCTAAGGACATGCCAAGATTAGGCAAAATCCAATATAATGAAGCAAAGCAGTTTGGCATCACTTTATCAGAACTGTTTCTCAGCAGTGACACTTGGGGGATGGCAGATTGGCCACTTGCTTGGGAAAGGAGGGAGGTGTAAAGTGTGTTAGGCAAAGAGTTGCAGGATGCTTCGGGATAATCCCAAAGCAGAGATTATTGGGAAGGAGGGCTCAAATATCTCCCTAAATACCTGCTTGGAGAGCAGCTGCTTCACCCTGTCTTTCACTGCCAGGCTCTTGTTTCCCTTTTTTTCCCTGCTGCTTCCATTTACTGCCCCAGCTGTCAGGAGTGGGAGCAGGAGCCACCGGCCAGGGATGATGCAGCAGAGCTCTGGTGTACTTAGTGCCTTCCCAGATGCTCTTGGTGTGCTTGTTTGCTGTTGCTTCCTAATTAATTGTATGGTTTGGAGTTCCAGGACCCTGGTCTGTCATAAATTAGGGATAATATTAAGGATTAAATTAAAGGACTGTAAATTATGCACTGCCAGCTCCAGGTCAGGGCCAAAGTCTAGCACAGTCCTTGCACACACTGGATGTGGCACTGGAAGAAGGAGCTGATGCTTCTCCTTTGCCAGGAAGCCCAAGTTGTCCCTGCTGTTAAACCTCACCTCTGCAGTTATGCAAATGACTGAATATTCAGGAGATAATTTGTAGGTACTGCCAGTTTGGGAGCTGGTGCTTTGCTGGGATGGTGTCACCATGATTTGGGGTTGTACCAGCTGCAACATCCCCCTCTGTGTTTATTTCCATGGGAGGAGCTGGGGCAGAGAGAGATGAGGTAGATTTACTTACATGCACTTTGAAGTCAGTGTTAGATTTGGAAACACACCCAGGAGCTGGGATTGTGAGATCTTTGTTTTAATCTCCAGAACCCCCTTTCTTGTCTCGTTTAGGCTGAGCCTTTTCTCATGCTCTCACTGGCTGGGCTTCAATCTCCCATTCCCTCCTTGGTCTGGTCTCACAGCTGAGGTGAAGTTGCCCAGGAGTAAATAGCCCCTCTCTAGATCTCGTTGTTAAGGAATAATAAAAAAAAAAATCCAATAAAAAGCTCAGCTTTTTTTCTCCTGCTAGTTCTTTGCCTTGCTGTAATTTTGGGATTAAATTGAGCACAACGGTGGCAAAGGCAAACTTCTGCATTCAGGTGGGCTGGAAGTTGATTTCCATCGGACTAAGACTAGAAAAACTGCTTTGGGAAAACAAACAAGGTTGACAGAATAACTTCAGCTGTGCGTCATATTGCCTTTTTCTGCAGGAATTTGTAGAAGGAATTTGCTTCAGCCACCTCTTGCTGAAGGGAGGGTGGGGAGAGCAGCCAGATTTGATCTCAATAAAGAGTTGCAGCCTTGTGTCAGTGTTACATATAGAGCAGTACATGCTGTTTGTGGTGCTGCTGTTGGAATCGGTGTAGAATTGTCTCAAAAACCTGTTTTGTTGCTGAATGGGAAGCAAACCTGCACTCCCAAGTACCTGTGTGCAATAATATTTTATTTCAAACTTACTTCTTTGTCTGGGTTTGAAATTTGCCTTTGATCAGCAACTGTCTCTAAGGCATCCTTGGAGAAGAGAGGAGCAAGTAGGGGAGTCAGAAAGGCCAGGTGTCAGTGGGAAGGTGGGGACAGGCATCTCTCAGGTGTCACGAAAAGCAGGACAGGTGACAGTGGGTGTGGGACAGTGGTTTTCCTTCCTGACACACACATGCTCAGACATGGGAAAGGCCACAGTCCTTGACTGTGGAATCAGGAAACAGGAGATTTTCCCACCTCTGGCAGCATCAGCATTCCTGCTTTGTCCCTGGGTTTAGCCTTGCCAGGGAACGTGAAACCAGGGAAGCCACCTGGAGATTTATTGCCCTTCTCCTGGAAGACAGGGAAGGATTCCCAGAGAAGCAGGAATTGTGCAAGACCCATCCCCACATCCCTTGGGCAGTGGAGCTTAGGAAGTTCCCTTTGGAGCAGGAGAGCTGGTAAGCTCTAAGGAAATGGGGAATGTCTGAAAAGGAGAAATTCCATGTGAAATTTGAAATATTATGTCAAAGGGAAAAAAAAGGAGGAAGAAAAACCTGATCCAATGAATGCTTGGGTCATGTGTTATTGTGGATTAGCTGTGCCACAGAAGGATCCTGTGCACCCCATGGAATCCATTCCCAGCAAACCAGTGAACATTTGTACAGTACATGACATGGGAATCGTGGCTGGAGCCTGGTTCCCTGGGATAATATCCACCCCGGGGTGGATTGGGCCATTTCCAGTGTCAACAGCCAGAGGATTAAGCATTCATCTCATCAGAACAGAGGATAATTAATACCAGATCGAACTTGGGGCTGAATTTGACACTTGAGTGTGGCTTCACCTCCTTGCAGATGAGTTGTGGGGACTGGGAAGATGTTCCTCTGTCCTGCAAGGTGCAGGGATTGCTTTGGGAGATCTATAGCCACTGGGATGGCATGGATCTTCCCAAATGAAGCTGAGGGTGAGCTCCCAAGGTAGGCATTAGGGATGGAAACCTCTCAGGAGGACTGTCCCTTCCAGCCAAAAGTTGGAAGAACAGAGTCAGGGTCGCTGTGATTTGCCATCATCTGGGTTTAAATGTAAAATCCAGGGTTTGGCACTTGTGGCTTTGTTGAAGTAAATTAATACCATTATCCTGGCCACAGTCCAGGTCAGGTAATTATATTCTTCCTACCTTAATGCCACTCAAGCCCCTGTCTCCTCTGGATGTGCTGCACTCTTTTCTGTCTGGAACTTGCTTATTATGTTACCAAGTCCTTCCTTTTCCCCCTCTTGAGCAGAATTTGTGCACAGAGCACCACCAGCCCCCAGCTCTGCTGAAATAGCCTGGAAAACCTGCCTTAGACATTTGACTGTGCCTGGAGCATCTCTCCTGGCTTGGAAGCCTGTGAAGCTGGGAAGATGGATCACATCAAAGATGAGAGAATGTGTTACAATCAAGGCTGCTGGAAACCTGTTTCTCTCCTCTCTGAGTGCCTTAGGCTGGGATGTGTGTTCATGGGAGGGACTCTGGACTCATGGGTGGTGTCTCACCTTCCTCTGCTGCCATTTCTTCGTAGGTTTTTGAAGACTAAACTGGAAAAATCTTCCTGTCTTTGAGAAGAATATACTATATCACTCACAAGGGGATTGGCCATGTCCAAACCTTGCTGATCTGGCAAAGCAGTCCTTGGTTTGAGGTTACCTGGCCCTAAGAAGCCCCTTTTCCTGCAATTCCTGAGCAATGCTCCAAGCAGTTTTGGAATGCCACATTTCCCTGTTGGGAGTGCAGCTGCTTGTCCATGTTGGTGGCTTCTCAGCCTTTACATCTGCAATTGATGCATTGAGGTTTTGGTTGGTTTTTTTTTTTTTCCTTTTCTTTTGAAAAGCATTTCAAGTCTCCTTCTTCCCTTCACCTTTTCAGTTCTACTCTCCAGGCCTGATGGAGGGGTGAAAAGGCTGCTCAAGCAGCACTTGAGGAGGGTGTCCCACAGTTCCACGTGCTTCCTTCCTGTTCCCAGACCCCTTCACTCTTCTCTCAAGGACAAGGGGGGGGTTTGAGGGACAGGAGGGGTGAGGATCAAAGCCATGAACCACTGTTCAAATCACAGAATGGCCACTGCTCCTTTCGAGTGCCGCATCTGGTGGAGCCTCATTAACCTTCTGCTTCCCCCTCCTACTCCTTTGCCCCTGAAAATCAACAAAGCCAAACATCCCAAATTACCTCGATTGGAGCAGCCTGAAGTGTGTGTGTGCTCAGTGTGAAAAAGCAAAGCAGAGCCATTGCCCAAAGGCCCTTTTCTGTGCTGGCCACTTCACATTTTTTTTTTTTTTTCCTCTCCAACTGGAGCTCTTTAAACCCCGATGCTCTTTGGAGCTGAGCTCTTTAACTTTCTCCCTTCCTCCCCTTGCAGCTTCACCCTCCCCTTGTTCTGCTCCTTCCGTTCCATTTTGTCCTGTGAGAACGAGTCCTTTAATCCCCCTGTGCTGCAGATTAAAGCTGTTGCAGCCTCCCCAAGTGGCATTTTCTCA